AAATCTTCCATCAATTAAAAACATCTAGCATTTATTATAAATTATTATTATTTATCTTTAATGGTAAATATTTCAATGTTATTATAGAAGTATTTAAACTATAATAAATGATATACTGTAAACATAAAAACAGTATTGAAAAAAATTATTATAATAAATAATTTAAAATAGTATATTAAATTACACAATGAATTTAATAATTTATTGATAGTAATTTGATAAAATTCCGTCAATCGTTTTAATATCCTAAATATTCTCAACTGACTGGGAATTCCCAGGAAATTTATTTCTTTGTTCTGCTAGCTATTGAACCCTAAACAACAAATTTTATTATGATGTTTGAAAAACAAGTATTATATTAAACTATATTTTTAGTGATTCATAGAAAAATAATTTCACTAAGTTTATTAAATTGAAATTTATTTTTTTAAGTATTTCAATAATTTTTTCAAAATCTTTATTTTTTGTATTATTTATTGTAATTATATAAAATATATTTTGACTGTCTAACGATGAATAAAATAATATAATTTCCTGGAAAATTGGAGGAATTCTATTAAGGAACTTCCCTGGAAATGTTGCTCTAACTCTAATAGTAATATAAGAGTCATCTTATATTGTTTTAAATAACGTTATTATTGAATATCGTTTATTTTGAAAAATTTCTAAAACATATTCACATATGTAGACTATAAATAAACCTGTTTAAGCATTATAGTATTATAAGATATTTTAAATTAGTATATCTCAAATTTATCTTAATATATTTTTATTCAAGTAATTTTATTATATTCTATGATCTAAATAGAACATTATTCTTATTTATAATATATTATTAGATTATTTATTTTTTGATAAAATAAGATGAATAATATAGAAAAAAATTAAATATCTTTGAATCAAAATATTAGTATTTATATGCGATACTAGATATCGTTATTATACAACTAAATATTTATACAGTTTTTAATAAAATATAACAGAATATTCTTTAGGGATAGATTTTCAATCTATTTTATTGATTTTTTATGCAACAGTTTGTAGTATATAATAACTGTTGTTTAAATTATTTTTTATAAATATTGTATATGTTTTGACAATATTTAGACATTTTTTAAAGAATATTTTATTTTTGAATTACTTACTTTTATGTGATAAAATTGAAAACGTTTAGTTTAAATAGCGATTAATAAAAATAAATAACTTTTTATTATATTTATGTATTGAAATTTATATTTAAAATTATGTATTTAAAACATTTTAGTTTATTTTAAAGTTAAATATTAAATAAAATATTTTTTTTTCAAATAATAATATACAAAATTTTATGATTAACTGAATAAAAAATTTTATACAGTCGTAAAAAATTATACAAAATTAATTATTAATTTTTAATTTTTTAATTTTATTTATATACAAAACTGATACATCTAAACATTGCCTAGGGCATTTAATAGAAATTAAATTAATTAAATAATACAATACTGTATTATACATATTTGTATCTGTATAAATTTAATATAATAGATATTTAATAAATAATCCATATTTGTATTGTTTAAGTAAATAATTATAAAAAAATAATTAATAAAAATATTTTGGCAAATATTATATTATATTTTCATAAAATATAATAAAATATTTTCAAATTTAGTTAAGCAAACATTAATTATTTTATACATATCTTTTTGATTCAGTGATCAATTACATCTACATTACAAATACATTATATACAATGTATTATAATGTAAATGTAGGTTATTACTGAAAAATATGTTTTTACATCCATAAGCAACAAGTGACCGGTGCTTACCTATCGTATTACAATAAACTAGAATATAGTATAAAAGTATTTGTTTAACTATTTATAAATTTTACTTACTTTTTCATCTATAATATAATATTAATATTATTCAATAAATGTAATGTAAGACATCATAATTTATAAATGCATTCAACAACAGAATATAATGTTGTTTTTTAGAAACAAAATAACAAAACATTTTTAAAAACATAATATATTGATTTTATATTAATTTATATATTTTATGATATACCGTATTAGATACTAACAGTTTTTTAGAAATAATATATATATATATATTTTAACAAATTAGTTTTATTATGAAAAATTATTCCTAAATGTCTTTTTAACTTTTGTTTCTTATTAATTATTTATATGTAAAATTTTATAAAAATTTATAAATTTTATTAATATTTTAGATCATTTTTTATATTATTACTTACAAAAATATGAATTTGTGTAAATATATAGTTAATTTTATATAAATAGTTATTCTTCTAAATATACAATAGATAATTGATAAAAATAGCAATAAAATGTTATTTTAATAAAATTTAAATATTTTTAATAGAGTTTCAATATTTCTATACAAATATGACAATTTTATCAAATTATATAATATAAAAATAAATATTTATATTTTATATTTTTAGCAATTCTATTATATAATTGTTAAGTGGTTTATTAATATAACAAATTGTTAATATACCGGTATATAATGTATTAATATATAATTTATTGTATTTTTGTATTTTATAAAATAAAAAGAAATCTAATAATAATAATATTTTATATTTTTATAATTTATATTCTAAAAATAAATAAAGTAATAATCAAATAATATAAACTAAAATGTATTAAATAATAGATTACTAATAAATAATATACTAATGTTGTGTAATAATTTAATTGTTTGCTAATGTTAGCAATTTATTTTTAATTAGCCAGGGTTTTAATGTTACTGTTGTAATGTTTAATTTTGAAACTTATTATATATAAATATATCTTATAATAAAATATTGGTTAATATGAATGGAAAAATCAATAACTTAATATTGTATATATAACTTCTACGTACATAATGTTAATGTCAGTATTTATTAGAATAAAATTTGTTAAATAAATTTTTATTAACTAAAAATAACTATTTTATAATAAAAAAAATAATTTTAATGACATTTTATCTACTTTTAAAAAATTAGTAATAATTTATTTTTAGTTTAAATACATTTAATATTAATAGAATAAATAAATGTTAAAAAATAATTTTTATAAATCATTAAGTATTTGAAAATGTGAACTTTCATTTTAATAATTTGCTATATTTTTAAAATGAATAATAATATTTATTAAAATAATAGTACTCTAATAATACTAWATTTATAAATTATAAAACATTGAATATATTTTATTAATTTTTATTTTAAGCTTATTTTTTTAAATATTTAATTAATGCTACATACAATTATAATAAATTAAATATAAAATTAAATTAATTTAAAAATAAATAATTCTATAAACTATTATTATTATTATTAATGTTATCAGAAAATTTAAAGACAAGATTTTAATATATTTACGTTTATTTATTTGATATTAAATTAAGCTTTTAAAACATATTAAAAATAGCAACAAATAATTGCTAGAACAGCGGTAAAATCGTATTAAGACAACAGTAATTAATATAATGGTTATTTAATTAAAGTTATTAATTAAAAATATATTTATAAATTAAGTTAATACCCAGAAAAAAACTGTTTTGTGCTAAAATAACTATTATACAAACAAATGGCATTATAATAGGAATTGTTGTGTTTTTTTCTAATTAATGGATTTATTTTTATGTGCAAATACTCACCACAATTCATATATTCAATAATATGTTAATAAGTACAGCACATAGTTATGGCACATATATTTGTTGTTGTTGTTCTGTAAATATACAATTTATCAAATAATATTTAAATATATATATATATTATATAATATAAATAATATTTATGAGATCAATATTTAGTGAAAATAAATTGCGTGTAAACATAATGTATGATATTTTTTACAAAATAAATTTTATATATACAATGAAAAAAAAACATAAAAATTGAACAATGTTTCTAAATATAAAGTAATAATATAATAATAATAATAAATAATAAATAAATGTAAATAATTTATCTTTGTTTTCTAATAATTAATATTTGTTTTCTGTAGAAATCTATATGTTTTTTAAATACATATACAATTATTTTATATATTATATAAATAATATATATATATATGTTATATTTATACAAATGTACATACAATTGTTTGTGTGATTGGCTATAGACGGCTTATAATTTGTTAACAAATATTTTTTTATATTAATTATTAATATAAGTAATTATAAATATATATTTATTTTATATTTATATTAATCTAATTAAAAACAAATATTCTATTTAAATACAATTTTTGATGCATTTGTAATGTATATATCTGTATATTATATATAATTATATTTTGTGTTTTTAAGGACTTTTGTGATGAGTTTTTTGTATTTATTTGGCTTTTCAGCGATGAAATGAGTGAGAGATCACAATTAGACACATAAGTTTTTGTTTTATAAAATTGTTAGTTTATAAATATTTTTAATAACAATTTTAATTACAAAAGGCTATATATCGGTATAGTGGTTGATAATATTAATATATAAATAATAATCATAATTACAGTATAATTATAGCGCTTTAAAAAAAACAATTTTCAATAAATTTTATTATTAATTGTTTACACATTTCTTGATGTTACGATTTTTTTGTCATTATTTTGTTGTGCAATCAGGTCTATGGACTTATAGTTTAAATATGTTTTTTGCGTTTAACATATATTTTTTTAATCAATTTTATGATATATGAATATACAATATATATGGCACACAAAATAGAAAAATAAAGTTAGTTTTTATTTAATTTCACATTAGATTGTGGTATCAATTAATTAAATTGTGAACAACAATAAACTGATTGCTGTATTTAACGACAAATAAGCAATAAGTCGATGAATTTTTGTTTTCTATCATAAAATTTGTCGCACATTTTTGTTTATTAGTAGTAATATAATAATAATAATAATCTATAAATATATTATAATAATTTAGAGCCAAATAATTAATTGGCAAACAATTAGATATTATATGATAACTATATGACAACTATTAGCTGCTCTCCATTAAAGTCTTCGACCGTTTAAATGGTTTACTGAGCCGTCGTTTTCCAATTCTCGACGGTTTTGACTCTTTTTCCTTCTCTTTCTTTTCTTCGTTAGCGTTGGCAGAGCTGTGATTAGTTGTTGTGGCCGTCGATGACGACTCTTGTATTGTACTATTGGCCGCCCGTTCGGCCCAAAAGTTAGCCGATTGTCGCAACTTTAAGAGATCACTGCCGGCTATGTTGAAGGCGTGCGGAAGTGTCATACGGCGAAAACGGTTGGGTGACTCAATCTTATGGATGTCGACACTACTGGGATCGGCCTATAAATATACATAAAATAATAATACAATTATTATTTTTTAAATATTTATAAATTAATTTTTAAAAAATATTATTTTTAATTATTGATTTTTTAAATATTTATTTCAATTTATATTTTTAATTTTAAATATTTCTCTCTCTCTCTCATTTACTTTCATTTGTCTAACTTATCATTTATTTATAAATTGGCTCTTTATTTGTCTATCTATCTCTCCAATTGAAATATAGAGCAACCAATGATTTATTGATTAATGACTGAACAATAGACTACTTTTTTCTCTCAATTTTTTTCAATAGCAAAGCAAACTCAATGACACTTTAGGAGACATTAAGACATCTCTCCAATGAATAGATATATAAGTTAATGGTTGGCATCACTTATGTGTGTATATATGAGATCTCATTGTTGTTGTATATTATTCAGTGATAAAAACATGAAAATATTTTGCCATTATTTATGAGACTTTAAATACGAAGCATGATATCTATATACAGGACTATAATTATATATAATGATTGATTGCATTTATTGTTTGTCTATAAAAAATGCTTTGTTATTATAACTATTATACTAAATAATATTAATATGTTTTTAATTATCATATTTAAAAAAATTATATAAAATCAATATTTTATAAAAATTATAAGTTAAATATAAAACAATTCAGATATTAAAAATTTATACAAAAATATATATATATATATATTGATTATTATTATTATTATACTAAAAAAATTTCAAATGTTCTTACTTTATATTTTTTAAAGTTACAAAAAATGATTGTAACACTTGTTAGTGATTTATTTATAATTAGATAGAAATGCTGAAGAGATACTTTATAATACATTTTTTTAGATAAAAATTGAGTTAACACAAAATGAAAGATAGCTTATTAAATATACAGTCGCATTCAGAAGGGTGGTAACTGGTTTTTAGTGAATAACTCACTAAATATAATAGATAGAATAAAACTATTATTTTTGGTACTATGGTTTTCTGGGACGGATATTATAAAATCTTAATATTCGATGTAGCGCAGCTCATGTATATATATAAAAACTATAATAGATATCAAAATATAGTAAAAATTATTATATACAGGGTAAAAATTCATTTCATACGTGTTTTAGGATTTTTAAAAATATTGAGTTATTTTCGAACAAAAAATATAAAATTGTCAAAAATGCAAAAGTATATAGGTTAAATTAAAAGTGTCAAAAAATTTAATTAATTGATCTAGAATCTAAATTATATGCTTAATAATTTGTCTATACATGAATTTTAATTATATAAACTAGTTACTTAGTTATTTAATAAAAACTATTCTCTCATTATGTAATTTAAATAATACATAAGTGCAATATTACTTAATATTAATTTTGTTATATAATGGAAAAATAGTTTTTATTAAATAACTAAGTAACTAGTTTATATAATTAAAATTCATGTATAGACAAATTATTAAGCATATAATTTAGATTCTAGATCAATTAATTAAATTTTAAAACACCTTGACACTTTTAATTTAACCTATATCAAACTTTTGCATTTTTGACAATTTTATATTTTTTGTTCGAAAATAACTCAATATTTTTAAAAATCCTAAAACACGTATGAAATGAATTTTTACCCTGTATATAATAATTTTTACTATATTTTGATATCTATTATAGTTTTTGAGATACAGTACCTCCCTGTCCCTACATTCCTGAGCTGCGCTACATCGAATATTAAGATTTTATAATATCCGTCCCAGAAAACCATTATAATAAATATATTATATTTAGTGAGTTAACTAAAAACCAGTTTTCTGAAAATATAATATAAATATATAGTTAATGATATATATAATGAGTATTCAATTATTAAATAATAAATTAATTTTAAAATTTTGATAATGTCTCATACAGTGGGAACTCTATAACAAATAAAACATTAAAACCTATTGAGTTGAATATCTAATATATAGTAAAATCAGAAATATTAATTTTGTATAAGTTTCTAATTAAGAATTATTTTATGTTACTTTTAAAGTAATTTTAATTTTTAATTTTAATTAAAAAAATTTCAAAATATTATAATTTAATTATTAATGAATTTGTCTAATAATGTAACTTTTCAGATGATATCATCAGTTATACTGTAATGTATATACACTATATATTATAATAAATGTAAAATTAAAGATTTTAATTAATAAAATATTATTTTWGTTTTAGTTTTTTTTCTAAAAATTTAATTATTTGCATATTTATATTAATTATTATTTAAGAAATATTCATTACTTAAAAGTTTAAAATTAATACACAATATTATAGATTATTTTTATTTTTAAATATTTTATTTATTTAATACATTTTATATAAAATTATTTAATGTAAACTTCATTAAAATAAATTAAATTCGTTTCAAATTATTCATTGCTTCAAAACTAAATAAMTAMAAATTATATGCAATCATTTACATAAAAATATAATTTAAAATCATTTTTGTGTCTCAAGTGACTAATACTCTATATTGTCAATAATATATTAAAAATAAATTTAGATAAATTCTGTATATATATATATACAGTAACTGAAATTAACAAAAATACAGTATATTTATTAGAAATAATAACATTCATATCATAAGCTATATCTATGATTTAAATAAATTAAAACTTTTTAATAGTTAATGTTATGTTAAATTATAACTTAGATCTCAAGTATCAAAATTTGTATAATTTTATTTTATCATATATTACTGTAATATTAATAATGCGGTATAATATTATACATAAATAAATTTATTACTATGTGATGCATGACTTATAAATAGATAATCATTAATAGATGGCATTAAATGCTAAAAAGTACACAATAATTATTAGACTAAACGATATTAGATATTTGTGATGATATAAAAATAAATACAGTAAAATATTGGTATAATGTTATGTTTTACTAATACTGTATATTAAATTGAATAAATTAATAATACATTAAAAAAGTATGAATAAATAATATACATACAGTAAAATAACAATTATATTTTTTATCTAATTATAAGCCCATAACAAAAACAACATAATATACAGTAATTGCTCTACAATAGGATTAACTCAAAAATATTTGGGTTTTTAAATATATACAGGAATTATAGGCAAAAATAAATTAAAATAGATTACAATATATACTTTATGTATATTATATAATCAAAAAACACAAACTAATCACTTGTTATTTTTCTACTATTTTTATCCTTCAATTAATAAATAATTTGATTAATGCTTTTATTCTATGAATTTTTGTTTTTTGATTAATGATTACATTACTCGACTTCAATGTTTTTTCTGACTATTAGTTAAATAAGCTAAAGAGCTATCAAATTATATTTTTATCCGTTTGTAATGTATTTATAGAGTATTAACTGTATAAATACTATATATAAATTCATATACATTGAAATAACATACCAATTGTAAAATACTAGTTTTCAAATTAATATAATTTATTGAGACATAGTTTTTAGTATCTATGGCATTATTTACTGAATATATGGGAAATTTTTATTTTTTTAATTAAGTTTTGCAACGACAACAAAAAATTATTTACTAGAGATAAGATACTGTATTTTTTTTGCTATTGAACAACAATATTATTATTAAAATTTAGCAAACATTTTTATTTCAAGCTATGATAAAATCTATCAAAAGTCTACTGAATTAATTAAATATTTGCTCTATATGTTATCATATTTATTCACTAAACAATATAATACAAAAAAATTAAAGTATTTTTTGCAACATATATCTACTTTAGTATACTATCAAATATTTTGTTTGTTTKCCTATTCAATAGTAGTATATACCGTATATATATATATATATATATATATATATATATGTCTACCGGAAGAAAAATGAATTAATTTATTTTTGTCAATAAAATAATAGTCATATATATATAATGTGTTATTTTCTCTATTGTTTGAAAAACTAATTATTTTCTATTCAATTATTATACAAATTAGTTGATTGTGTCACAAAATTTTTATTCGTAATCTCTATAATATTCAATAATATATAAAATTCTATACATTATTTGATTTTATGTATTGACGTAAATTCATTTTATTTACACTCAAATACTAAAAAAATAKTATTGTTGTAAAAGAAATTTTTATATTATTCAAATGTTTGGTAAATACTATAATTAAATATTTATATAAAAATAGTTTAAACATAGTAAGTCGTATAAAATAAAATCTAATAAAATASTAAAAAAATAACTATTGAGAAGACATTTTATATAATAATAATAATACTATATTTTAAAAATATTAAGTCATTTAATTATTATTATAGATATATTATTACATAAATATTATATAATTAATGTATTTCAAACATCTTTGTAAATTGTAGTATTATTATTAACGATTATATAATCAACAATAAATTTGGTAAATACCTGAAATGCCAGTGCATTCATGATGACGTGGTCGGGCACAACACCTAATGGGTGGACCTCACGCATCAATACCGAAGCGGGTATCTTATAAAACTCGATACACTCCAAAAAATTGGACATAACGTCCCTGAGATCGGCGGCACCGGGCGATCCATCGCAGTAACGTTGACTCCAGTGTAGGGCCGCTTGAAATTTGTGCAATTCGTCGGCCTTTAGCTCCTCCCGGGCCAGTATAAGGCGTACCACATGTTCGGGTAATAATGCAAACGACCCGAGACTAAGCACTTCATTTCCGTGATTATCCACATATTCGAGTACCTAATCATTGTTTTTATCATATTTTAGACTATTTTTTCATAAATTAAGTTAAATTTATTGTATATGTTATATAATATTATCTGTTTAATAATGTGTTTTTTGTATGTATCGATTTATTTTTTATTGATATATTTTTAGATTAAATACTATATAAATGATATTAGAAAATGTCACTAAATATAAAACATTTTTTATATATAATAATGTTTATCAAAAACTAATAAATTGAATTACAGTCACTTCACGCCAGTAGTCATATAAAAAATTTATTACATTATCTTTATTTATCTCTTTGTTGTTGTTTTTTCAAAGCTAACTTAAAACACATAAATCGAAAAAAATTTTAAAATAAAAAAGTTTGGTTAAATATAAAACAATAAAATAATAACTATTACTATATTACTCTATTTATTACACTATTATTATTCTTATTATTATTATTTATCGGAAATACAATATAACTCAAAACTCTATTAGAAAATATAGTTTGTGTACACATAAAGTATTGTTAAATACAATTCACAAAACAAAATCCCTAAATATAAAGACATAAAAGCAAAACTTCTGGACTATTATTTTGCTTTTATTTTGAGAGACATTTATTTTTATACTGAGAAAACAAGTAATAAATTTTTATTTGCTTTGTGTCTTTCTCTTTTAAATACATATACTATTAACTGTTACAACAAACAACTAATGTATACTACCATTACTACTGATAACAAACTGGAAAATGGATTAAAGAATATTCTCAAAGTATATAACTCTCTCTCTCTCTCTCTATTATATGTTAACAATAATATTCTTTAACCTATTTTTCAATGTGCTATCAGTAGTAGAAATTTTAGTACACATTAGTATATTTTTTTAAAAAATGAATACTGTTTTACTAAAAATAAATATATTCAGTACTTACTCGTTGTACAAGAGATTTGGTGCACTTGTATTGTATGTATCGCTCGGCTGAGGCCAGTATAGAGTTGACGGTATCGACTGTTATACAACACGTGACAAACCCCATACAGGCGCGCCGTAATTCGTCTAAACCATAATAGTCGGCCGCATTCATTAGACCTGTCCATTAAAAATTGTACCAACGATTGATAAAACAGCCAAATAGTTGAGGGGATACAAAACAAAACAWAAAAGCAATGTTAGTAGTGATCAAATAAATTAATTAGTAATTTATGTCTTATTACAGGTTTCGACTGCTATTAGCTTTATTTGCCACGACATACACTATATTGGTTTATACTGTATCATACCGTATGGCAAAATAGATTTAATGTTATGTTTGGTTAGGTTTGACTTTATTTGACTCTAATATAACCTGATTTTTGTTTTGCTTTTGTCTATTATTGTCATTGACATTGTTGGTCAATACATGTACAATAAAACAAATGAGATTATTTTAATAGCCATCGATAACACATTGTTTGCTATGTTTGTCTCTCTCACTCTATATGTATGTATTTTATATATACAGTATAGGTATGTATTAATGTCATGCAGTCATACAATTACTGCTGACTCGGGGATCATAACCAGTATAGTACACAAAATACTGGACTATTGGGTATCACTTCAAACATTCAGTGCATAACGTCTCTTGACTTTAACCAACAATTATCACTTAACTTTAGTTTACTTATTTTACTTTATTTTTTTATATGTTTTACTTTTACTTTTCTTTATATATTTTTGATGTTAAGTTACTTTATATTAAATAACAGACAAACACTTAATGTTGCGTAAATGGCTTTCGTTGTTAACAACACTGTAAATGGATATCTGAAAGCAGTTTTGTTTCATTTTTACTTAAAGGTCTACTTTTATTATATATAATGTAAGTTATATTAAATTTAAGGGATAAAACAAATTTATATTAAGGAATATATTGAGAAATAATTTGTCAGCAATGTATTCATTATGTTTAGTTTTATGATAAAAAAAAGTTTATAAGTAATACAAAAATTTATTAGTTTTTTTTCTACAAAATATACTAAAATAATATTTTATTTGATTATATATTATTATAATATTATCAATAATGCAAAAAGCTTTATCTGTTCACATGTTAATAAATTTTAAATAAAATATAAATTTATGTTATYTGATTTAATTAAACATTATTTATAATATATTTTAAACATATATATATATATATGTATATTAAATAGTATAATAGTATATACTTTATATTGTTTATTATACTGTATATCATATATTAWAATAGATTATAATCAACAAGTTATATAAATTAAAGCAAATATTTCTTTTATAAAAGCAATATTGAAGTTCATTTAGACAACTATACATATATTTTTAAATATATTGAATAAAAACATATATTATATATTTGCACGTTTTTATGCATCAAAATCAACTAAATATTATTAACTACAGTATATGAATACTGTACWGTATTATAGTAAACTGTATATTGAAGCAGAGTATGGGTTTATACTTTAAATGAGATAAAACTTTTAAAAATACTTATTTCCAAATCTATATATTCAGTCATAATTTAAATACTCTCTCTCTCTCTCTCTYTCTCTCTCTCTCTCTCTCTCTACATGTATTTAAAAAGATATTTCATTAGCTACACAGTGTTAATGCATATGTTAATAAACTAAATAYGATTAGTAAAGTACAGCTGAGTATWAAAATATAACAAAAACATAATATAAGCATTAGATTTACGAAATACATTCATTAAACTGTATATTTCATGTCAACCACAACTTTAATGGCATAAAATATTTAGCGGATATTAATTCAATTTGATGTCCAACCATACGTGTGCTTAATAAACACTAAACATATATTATCACACATTTTTCAATTACAATAACACACACACACATTATGCATCAAAATATTGATGACAGGGATTAAATTTGAGTTTTGAAAGCGTACACAGTTGTTAACACACACACACACACACACACACACACACACACACACACACACACACACACACACACACACACACACACACACACACACACACACTAATCACATGACATATCGTGCATACTTTTGTTACATTAAATAAAATATTTGGTAATTAAATTAAAACTAAACTAAACATCACTATTTCATTTACATTTATTTGATATTATATGATATATTCTTCCATAAACTTGTCATTAATTTTATGAAAATCTATTTATAGTATATAATCAAAAATGTTTTGACATCTATTTTCTATATGTTAGCAATGAGTTTCACCACTCAATTATTAATATTTAATATATAGATTTTTTTCCTGTAAACTAAAAATATTGATTTAATGTATAAGATATTTAATATGTAAATTTTGCATTTTATTAACAAATAAAACAAATATAATACTATTAATTTATAACTTAAATATAAATATTTTACAATATATTGTAAACAATAATAATTTTAGATAAATATTAAAGTAGTGATTTTTGCTGAAAATACATTAAATGACATTGAAATCTAAATAAAAAGTATATTAAATATTTTGATCATAAATTTCAATTTTATGTTATAATAAAATAAGATATAAAAATATTTATAAAATTATGTCATTTATCATATTTTATTTATTTATAAATTAACTACAATATATCATAGATCGATAAAATATTATTATAAAATATATACTAAGTTTTAGTAAATACATTATCTAATAAACAAAATTTTAAATCATTCATAGAAATAATACAGTATCTATAACAAGAAAATAAGTAAATCTTTATAATACTTTAAATTATAATAAAAATTTTATTTTTTTTATCAGAATTAGGATTTCTAACATTAGTACATATATTTTTGTTGTTATATTTAATATCAAACTAGAATATCATACATARTATTATACAGGATATTAAAATCTAATATAACACATAAAATATATTATGTTTAGATTTAATAAACATTTTATATAACTTTATGTGCGCTTAATCTTATATATAGAAATACATAAATAACTTTAAAAAATTATTATATCACAAATATAATATGTGAGAATAAAAAAAATTATAAAATTCATAAATTATAATAAATATGACATTAAACAAATAAATTATGGACCAAATATTTTATATACCCTATTTTTAWAAAAATTAAGCTGCTAACACTATTGTCAGTTTTAAAAACTAAAATTTATAACATCATGAACACAAAGATTAAAGCTAAATATAAATATATATTCTCAAAGTTTATTGCATTTATTAAAATACCAAAACATGAATATTTTATTGTTTTAAATCAAATATACAATATCTCTGCAATATATAAGTTACTGTATATACAGTATATATACATTAAATAAAACAAAAATACCGTTTGTTAAGTGAATCGACTAAACAATATATAACAGCAAATGTTTTATTTATATTATCAAAATTTATAAAATATATTTTGTAATATTATAAATTTAATACATCGTTCAATAAATTTTGAGTTACGTTTAATAGGATTATATATTACATAAATATTATACGATATACAATATATCTGAATGCATGCATTTTTTATAAAATTAATTTCGAGTACTATTGAAAAACAAGATTTTTTTATTTGTTTAAAAATATATTGAAAACTGAGCACAACATGAAATTGTCGTCAAAATACTTGACACTCGTTTTTTACTGTAGAAAATGTATTTAAAATTATACAAAAAAAWTTGAAATACATAAAATACTTTTATTAAGATATACAGTATATTATTTAAGTACAGGTAGTTTATTATTTTTTGGATTCATAGTAAAGTCTATTTTTTTGTTCAATTCATAGTACTCTTTCTCTCTCAAAGATTTTCGGTTWAAATTTTATTACAGTATTTATGTAAATCAACTCAAAATAAATTTATTAATAAATAGAAAAAACTACAAACGAGTTTAAAATGATTAAATTAATATATTTATTATGTTCATCAAAATAATATTATTATTTATGGGATAATATTTTTTTWAAATATATTATTATATTAATATTSTAACGACAGAATCGCCAGACCGATGAGTGTGTGAATCAATGAAAACAAATAGTTATTATATGAAAACAGTTTATTAAAATAAGACAAATAAATACAATTGTTGAAGACATCCATGTAGTCTCCAATTACCGATAATTTTAGATTTATATTTTTTATTTAATTCCTATTGTAATACCTATTTCACTGTAATTCACTAATCCTTATATTTACACTATGTATTACTTTTACCGTTTGTTAACCATTTACCTGTATATCCTGGTCAGTGACACCAATCACTGGCACCTCAATGTCCAACACATCAACTATTCAACCGTTTTATATTCAAATAGTCCAATGACTACCTTTCCCTCCAATTCATTACCTGTATATCAACTCACTATAAATACAGTACAACTACTGTATTCATTAGTCAGTACACCAGTCAGTCAGTCAGTACACATCACATCTCATACACAGTCACTGCCACTGTATATCTCTTACCTGAGCCCAGTCTCACAGTCACTACTACTGTACTCTACTCCACGTGTTATCCATTATAACCTATTTTACCAATTCATATACAGATTTATATACATATCTTAAACCATTGTTTAATTGATACCGATTTATAATAAAAGTCTTTAACTTAAACTTGTGTTCAACTCATTGTCAATCACTACCATCGTGTGCAAGGATTTGGATCATAATTGGCCACCACTTGGTTACCACAACTGCACAGTGATCACACTTATCATCTGAGAAGTCCTTTAAAGACCTGATTAACAGTCTAATTGGTCTCATAATATACTTGTCATTATTATTGAAAAATTAACGGTTTCATAAGGATTATCAAATGTCATAACAATTGGCGCAGTCGGTAGGATTCATCAATAGATCCCTGACCGTGTCATAACACAATAATAGTTTTAATACTATGACTCTAAGCATAACTCAAACCCTAGTAGTGTATGTAATACTAATAAACCCTGATATATAATAATACGTTTATTTGAAAATAATTTAATTTAAATTGTATATTACCATAAATGAATTACATAAAAAACATAGTCATTATATTAAAATTGTTATTTTTTAGAAAATTTTGTGTCACTTTTTAATATTTTTTTTATTGTTAAAACTAGTTTTGACTATTTTGATAATGATTATATCACATAAAATTTATATATATATTATTGATTTTTTATTTAAAATTAGACTAAATCATAGACATGTAAGAAGAGAGAGAATGAGAGATAGATAGATAGATAGATAGATAGAGAGAGAGAGAGAGAGAGAGAGAGAGAGAGAGAGAGCTAATTGTAAGTACTCTACTATAACTTTCATTTTTATAATGAGACCAACAAAATACACAGAATATTCTTTAACAAAAAAGTATTATATCGTTAAAAATAAATTATATTCTTAAAAATTTTTTTGTAGTCTTTTTTWAATAAGCTTATTTTTTAAATATCATTATTTTTATAATAAAAAATTAAGTAAATACAGTATATTATTTATATAATATATTTTATATATAAAATAAGTGCATATTCTGTATAGAATAACCATAAAATATATGCAATTGTTTGTTATCAATCATTACATCACACATTATTTTATTTTGTGTTTAAAAAAATATTATTATATTAAGTCAACTATTATTAATACTAATTTAACTAAAATTACAAAAATTTCACATATAATTAATTCTACTAATTTAAAAAAATTAAGTAATAATGATATATATAACAAATAATATTGCAATCATAACGAAAAATAGAAATAAGTAATGATAAAATTTAGTATAACTCATAAATGCATAAGGGGTGATTCACATATTACGTTTGCACTTGGGTGAAGGAGAGGTAGAGACCTTAAAAACGTTCTCATTTAAATAATTTAAATGGTTAATTTTTATCAAAGTTAATCTTTTGATAATAAAGGTTTAATAACATGTTTTCAATAAATATATAAATTTTTAATAGAAATAGTTTTAATTACAGTATTTTAAATATTTTATAAAAGATTCATTAAATATTATTTATAGTTTAAATTAATTGATGTCAAACTCAAAGCCATGATAAGAGGTCTACATTAAGGATATGTGATTTAAAGATTTAATTTTAATTAAATTATTAATAAATATAGTGGTATCTTATTTTATTTTTAGGGTGGGCGGTTACGTGCGAACRTAATATGTGAATCACCCCTAAATCAATATATTAACAAATATTTCACAATTTAAATTAAATGTGATAATTCCATTTTTTTAGTTATTAATGCATTATTACTAATAATATAAATATACAGTAAAGGTATTAATAATAGTATAAAATTTATACTATAAATAACAAATTGTTTATTCGGAATAAGAGATTATATAAAGCATTAAATGCCATCGATATTAAAAATAAAAATATTAAATATATTATGAATTAATGACAAAAATAATATGAAAAATATATATTATTTGTGAAATGTATTTAAATTAAGTTTTATGACTAAATAGTTACTAAATTATCATAATTTTATAATTAAAAATAGCAACTATTTTCAAAAATATATTTTTGACAATCCTATTATATGTAAATAACTATAATCCCTATTTTATTATAATATATATTTTATTTTTCAGTGTTTCTATCTTATAATATTAAACTTGTAATATTATATTTAATCTTAAAAATAAATTGTAAATATTTCTATAAATTTACACAAAATAATGCTAAAGACATAAAAACACATAAAATTAAGATATATTTCAAATAATAAGTAACACTTAATCTGTAAAAGTATTAAAATTTATAAATTTTGTGAAAATATCTTTTCATAAATGTTTTATATATTTAAATAGCGATACGTTATAAAAAGCATTTATTGTAAATAATTTGAAATTTTAAAGATATTCATTATTAGTTTAATTTAATGAACATTTCAATAGTACAAAATAACTTTATATTTGCATTTATAATTAAAATAACTAATAAATAAATTGTTATTTAATAATATTAGTTTATATAAACATTAATCAATATTAAAACAAATAATTAAATATATGATATATTAAAAATATGTCGAATAATTTGAAAATAATTGCAAAAGACAATGTTTTTAATTATTAATTGTATATTATTTTATTGATTAATTTATCATAAAAACCTTAATATAAGGTCTTATAATGTGACAGTTCTGACCAAATAAAATAATATCAAATAAATAATAGCCAACAATCATATCTAAAAAATAATTTTACGACAAATGCTTTTCACTTTTATATTTATTATATTTATAAAGTTTTAAGTTGTTTTATTGTATGAAAATAATTTTATAGCTTTTGAAAAATAGTTTTCAACACAAAATGATTTATGAGATCATTAATGTTATATTAAATTATATTCATTTTTATTCAGGAATTATTCTTTACAAAAATTTTATAAATAATTTTTTTTAAACTATTTTATTATATAATATAATTATATATCTATAGTTAAATATCTTTGTCTACCATAAAAATATCATATCATTTACTTTGAGATAAAAATCAGTTAAATAACTGAAAAAACAAAGTTTATTATTATTATCTATTGAAATTTTAAATAAAATAATTGAATTTTGTCATAATATAATTTTTATATTTATAACAACATTAACAATAATATTGTTAAAAGTCATAAAAATATGTTTTATAAAAACGCCATTTATTATAATTTAATGCTTTTCTCTAATATATTTCGGGTTTCTTTCATTATATTTTTTGTGTAGATTTATCGATAAACAAATAACTCATTTTTGTGTATTTTTAGCTTAAAGTATTAATAAAAAAAACTCTTATTTAATTTAAAGGCAAACAAAAACAGTAAGATTTACTTTAAAAATGCAAACAAAATATATTATTATGATATTATTATACTGTATATTATATCATATATATATATATACAGTATATAGATAAGTTGTACTAATTTAAATGTATGTTATAATAAACTGTATTTTGATAATACCGTACTGTACATTATTTTAAATTTATATAAACATAGTAAGTATTTGTATTTTGATAAAAAAAATGTTTTAACGATAAAAATTATAGTTTGTTAAAAAAATATTTTTGCTTTAATACGAGGGGAATAAAATTCTTGTGTAAATATACAAAGTTGTTAAAACATTTTTGTCAAGAATATTCTGCTAGTATTACATACAATATATAATAATAATAATAATACTGTATATATAAATACAGAATTTATACAATGTATATAAGTATAAATATAAAGTTTATACTTTATAATGTATATGTAGTAAAAAAGCAAAGGACAAAAATAATTGGCAAAAATATGTTTTGTAAAAAATAATCTAAAAAATTCTTAGAAATCTTAAGCAAAAATAACTATTTATAATAATATTGTTTTAAGCAAAACATTTTTTATTATTTGAATGAACACCAAGTTTAGTAATATATATACTGTTTATATATATATATATATATATACTTATCATAATCACATAGATCTGATTTTAGATATAAAAAATTTAATTAAATTTTTGCTTTTACAACAATATTTATAGTTATATAGTAATAATTTTTTTACATGTATATATACAATACTGTATATGTATATCAGGGTTAATCAAGGTTTTTGGATTTTAGGGAGGTATAGGGGGACAAAAATCTTGAGAGGAAGGCATATGGTAGGTGTAGACTTTTATTACATTTTTAAACGATTTTTTTTCATAAATCCAAAACCTTGATTAACCCTGATATACAGTATTGTATATAATTTAGAGGTACAAATTTTTATCAAATTTTTATCAACCAAATTATAAATCTAATTAATTAATTAAAGATATACAGTATATATAATATTAGTTATCAATATAAAAAATTTAGCAAATAGTCTAAACGTATTGCTAATAAGTTATAAACTTATTATTATTTTATTGCTGTCATTTATAAGTCAAACACATAAAATTTGTTGAGTCAACAACAGGTACTGTACTTTGCAATAAACATGATTTGCATTCAATATTTTATATTTTGCATTATTTGCGCAAAACTCAGACAATAACTGTCATAATATATCTAAAAAACATATATATATATGACTTACCCAACAGAGTCCTGGCCTGAAGTGTAACACAACCGGTGTGTATGTATTCAATGAGTTGCCGAAAGACGTCGGGTTCAAACTCCTCGATTATCATTGTCTGATGGGTTGGCACTGAGGGCTGTTATCATACATTTACCACAACATAGAAAATAACATATTTAAGTTGATATAATATAAATTACAGATATATAATATATTTACAAAAAAATAGCTACAATAAAAAAAATATTAACGTTATAAATAATAAGTTTGCAAAAAATATATATCAAATAATAGATGTTATATTTATAAATTATATTAAATTTGTCGAATACAAACTTCTATTATATATATATATATATATATATATRTGTGTGTATACTGTATATTATTTATTTTGTTTATTTTGTTACAATAAATTCATTATGTTGTATATGTATATTTAGTTTTTTATGAATAGACATTATTTGCTATGGTTTTTTATTTGCATTGAAATATCATAAATGTTATATTATATTTAAAAAAAACATATTAAAACCCAGTATAAACTGTATATTTTTATGTATAATATATATATATAAACATAAAATCATTTATATGACATAACAGAAATCCTAGTGTTTGATAAATGATAAGACAAAAGGCATATTTTGATGTAATGGTTAATCTGAAAGCGTAATGATGTGTTAGTACACATAAAGGACAGGGAGTAAATCAATCACAGTCATAGTCATCTAAGGTAATGCTTCAACAGCAGCTATAATTAAACAGTAACACAACATTTGGCTCATAATTAGATACAATTTTGAGTTTCAAAATCTTTTAACTTTACGACAAACTAATGATTGGACTTTGAATATAATCGAAATACACTAAAAGTAATAATAATAATAAATAATAATAATAATCAAGAGTTTGCAATCATAAAATATAGTGCACTAAACAACTCATTAATTTCCAAATGCTTGGGGATATCAACAAATAGTTCAGTAAATGTCAACAAAAATGATAAATTTATTTGCGATAAATACTATGCCTTATGAGTGAAACACAATTTTCTAGTTTACTATAGTTTAGTCACTAAAATTTTAGTGCATATATTGTATAGAATATTCTGTGTATAAATTTTCTAAGTAAACTAACTATTATATTCAGTATATACCTTATAAATTTATATACAGTATTGTATATGCAGTATGTGTTATGTTTATATGTACAGTGCATTAGACCCCTATCCGGGCTTTTAATTAAATGACACTTTCTTGCAATAACTATAATTAATTGTTTGTATGAGACCTGGATGTATAACTTTATATATATATATACGGTATATGGTGTGTAATACCACTTGAATGCCAAAGAGTAATTGAATGCCTCCAATACAACAATAAATATATAACTTTATATATATTGAGTATATTTAACAATTAAATTTATCTGGATATTTTGATGTCTTATGTAATATTAAATTTAATCATAAGCTTTATGTGTATTGCTTTATATTTATGAAACGGTAAACAATATCATGCCGTATATGCAAACGTCAGGCACTGATGTTTTACGTCACTCAATGGCTCATCAAAGGGAAAGGCATACAAACAGAGTAATGTTTAATACATACAAAACATCATTTGCTATTACGTTTGATAGAGACTATGGGATGTAATATCAAATGAAAATTTTTGTATAGGATTTATCGAAAGATAAGAGTTTTGACTTTAATTGAATTGAATTAAATGTCGTAAAATAAAATGTCTATATTTAGATAAGTTTTAAATCAAACTAAAAATAAAAGTTACATTTTATGATAATGTATTACATCATTATTGAAATCCAACATCAATTGAATAGCTTAATTAGTTTATTTAAAAGTCATATAACGTATATATATATAATGTATATATATTGTATTGAAATATATTAATAATTCTATTGAATATATATATATATATAATTTAATTTAATTTAATTTAAATAATTTTTTCTATAAATTTAGTAATACTTTACCGGAAATTAAATTAATAATTTTACAAATTTGTAAAAATATACTTAATATTTTTGTGAATATTTATTAAAAAGTTTGAAACATTAATTAAACTTTTTTTTAAAATATGTTATTTGACATTTTATTTAAAATTATATATATACAGTTTATTCTATATATATATATATATATATATATATATATATATATATATATATATATATATATAAATAATATGACTCACAAAATATAAATTAAATAATATACTGTCAAAAAATAATATACTGCATAAAAAAATGTTTGTGTATATCATTAATATTGATAATATGTGAGCCAACCTGTTGTTGATTAAAAGGCAGTCCATTGAGTATGGGTTCAGACGATCTCTTAAGAAATAGCTTTAATTTTGTATCTTTTGGTGACTCCTTTTTCTTGGCAATGGTCTCCTTGGCGTTGCCACCGCTAGCCGTGTTACCTGAGCCCGGGATCTGATGCTGCTTTTGGCCGTATAGTAGTTTATGAAATACTCTATAATAACAACAACAAAATAAATATATCAGTTTCACATACATATATTAATCAATTTTTTTGTAGTCTAACGTTTAGTATATATCATTTTACTGTACTTTGTATATATATACTGTATATGTGTATGTATTTCATGTATACATGTTTTACATTCAAATGAAAATATATGATAAAACTTTTACTATTTTTGATAAATAAGATTAAGTGAATGTTATCAATGAATAAATTATATTAAATGTATATATAAACAAACATTCTGTATATAGACTATAACTTAGTTGTATTTTTTATCTAAATATGTTGTGCTGTTATTTACATTCATTATCAGTAAATTACTAATTGTTTTTATATGCAAATCAAAATAAATGATTGTATTTGCAAAAAATTATTTATTGTTATTTAATGTTTTAAAAAAGCTTTTACGTAAAATATAAAAAAAATATTTTAGTTTATATTAATCTATTTATAATGTTATTTAATGAATAAATGCAATTATTAATTATCAAATGATAGATTTTTAAAGATTATTTATAATTTTAACTATAATTATAATTAATAACATTTTATTATAATTTAAGTAAATAATAAGAATTTCAATCATTAAATAAATTAAATAATTAATATTAAAAAATTATACAGTATATTTAATCAAAATATTTAATTTTTCAAAAATATTTTTAAACAAATATCATAAATATATACTAAAATACAAATAAATAATATTTCATTAAATCTTATATTACAAACATGAAAAAGTAATTATAATAAGTTTTATTTGTAATATAATAGCTATTATTGGATGTATTTGCTTATATAATTTATTCTACATTTTTTTATTCTGTAATAACATTTTATGGCTATCTATATAATAGGTCTCAAATCTCTAAACACAAAATCAATTTGAAAGCTCTCACAGATTTTTCCGCAACTATTCACGTATTTTTATAGTCTTAAAACTCGAGTAAAAATTAATGTATTATAATTGCAATGAAAAAACAATATCTAAACTATACTGTTATATATATATTCTTTACATTAATTTTATTTTTTTAAAACACATATTTTGATGTTAATTACCTGCTTCTGGCGGCCAAAACTGCTTTAACAGCACATACCGGCTCCCGGGTCTCACCTATTGAATTGAACAAAAAATACAGTTATTTAAAATGTTTTTTTCTGGGAAAAATAATTGTGAAAAACAGTGATGTGTTTGGTTTGAGTGTTAACTATATTTGTGTGAAAACATATAAAAAATTAACACAAAATTTGTGTGTTGGATGTAATTAAAAATATACGTTAAAACCTAAGTGTGTGTGTGTTTAATGTAAAAGCATTAAAATTGCACTTAATTGACTGTAATTTTTGTACTAAATTCAATATTTTTTATTTTATAAAAATGTGGTTTTTATAAAAAAATCAATACTTTTAACAAATTCAAATACATTTACATTAAATTCAATTAATTTTTTCTATATTTCTACTTTAAACAATGCTTTTTCTGTAGATTTTATATAATGTTAAGTATTATATATATATATATATAATATTTTATTGAATATTCTATAAACCTTTAAGTAAATCACTATTTTATGCTATAAATCTCTCTCTTTCACTATATCTATATCTCTCTTATATCTATCTGTCTATCTATATATTTATCTCTTTTCAAGCAATATATTTTCACTTAAAATGAATATATAACTTATTTTTATTCTAGAAATATATCCGTTAAAATGTGAGTTGTTTTTTATTTCATAAAACATTTACACAATTGTATGAATACTATGTTTTGCTAAAAATAGAAAAAATAGTATATAAAAAATAAAATATTGTTTTCATTTATATTATATTACATACATACATATATATATATATATATACTACAATAGAGTATATATAGGCATTTATATTTACATATTATTTTAGTAATTAAAATCAATTTTTATCTCAAAAACAGCTCTCTGTGATTAAATTAATATACAGATTATGTAAGAAAACTGAAGTTTAGTGAATAGTTTGAAAGAAAAAAATATTTTAATAAAAATATACTTATAGTATCAAAATATAAGAAATTTATACAGTATTTCGTATACACATTATATTAAATTACTGACTCAATGAATAATAGCAAAGCTATACAGTAGTTTTGAGACTATGAATTGAAAAAACTATTTACTTTTATAGTAAAGAAATAGCAAAGAGTGAGTGAGTGAGTGAGTGAGTGAGTGAGTGAGTGAGTGAGTGAGTGAGTGAGTGAGTGAATGAGTGAGTGAGTGAGAAAGAGAGAGAGAGAGAGAGAAAGAGAGAGAGAAAGAAAGAGAGAGAGAGAGAGAGAGAGAGAGAGAGAATAATTGCATTTATACGATATGCAAGAAAAATAATATGAAAAGAAAAACTCTAATATGGTTTATATGTGTAATTCCGGTGCTTTTGTGTACTACATGTGCTGTTAATACCGATACTTGATTTAAAAGTATAATAAAATAAAATAAAATAAGACATAAAATACAAATCACTGACCGACGAGAAACGTTATATCGCAGAGTTCAGGCATTGAGGCCAAAAATTTCATGTCCTCCGCCAGTCCCGTCCGGTTCTCATACATTGAATAGTCGAGAAAATCTTCGGCCGCGTCGTCCAAATCGATATCAAAGTCCAAATCAAAGAGTCCGGTGTCGATGCCCGACGAGTCATCCTTATATTGTTCATAATGATGGGCCAAATCAATAGGCAAACCAATTGCCACCAATTCGTCGGACATATCCTTCACTACCGAAACACACAACTGTTCACTCTTTTAACTCTCTATTTATTAAACACTATTTCACTCGTTGTTGTTGTTGTTGTCAATGTTGTTGTTGTTGTTGTTGTTGTATTCAATGACTTCGACCTCTTTGTCTACTATTTTCAAAAGCTTTTTCGATAATTAAATTTTTATATTTATCTCTCTTTTTCTCTCTTTCTATATATACTATATATAAATATATTTATCTCTTTTTATTTGCACTCTATATAGCAAAAGTGTCTTTTTCTTTGTGTCTCAAAACGATAATATTGTTTACTTAATCCGTAACAATATTTTACACAAAATTTTCTGTCTTATAGTTGTTGTTGTTTTAAACAATTCATATACTTTTGTTGATATTATTTTATTACTAAATTAAATAATGTTTTGTTTTGTAATAAATCAAAAGATAATTTTTTATATATATATTCTATTGTATTGATTCAAAATAATAACTATATTTCAAACATTATCAATCATTAACTTATAACACAAATATATTATTTTGTGCATACAATAAAAAAATAGTGTAAATCATGTAAAACATGTATATTACTAAACAAATTAAATTTTAAAATATCGTTTTTTATATTGTATTATTTATTTTGGTAATAACCCGTAAAAACATAGTATTATAAATACAATATATATATATTTATATATATATATCTCAATATATTATTATATCTTTTAAAATTTAGAAAAACAAAAAAGTTTTTTTGTGTGTGTTTTTCATCAGAAATAAAGTAAATGTTAACAAATAATATCACTGAAGAGTCACTGGAAGATGAGTAGCGTTTGATGATATCATCAGTAAATGTTGTGAACCATTGAAAAAGCGTGTTATCAATGCATTACTGCATATCATAATAATCATAATAAAAGCATCGCTTTTCAAACTCATCGCTTTTAATGCAATAAAAAAAATCTTTTTTATCCACCTTTCAGTTGATTTTATTATATATATATAAATATCTTATTTCTTGTTTTTTTCAAATGCTACTATAAATCTGAATAATAATAATAATATTATTATTATTATATATATGATGATGATATAAGAAGTAGTATATGTATATGATATTTATATACTGAATATATATATATATTTATATCTATATATATATTATATATTTATATTATGTTATATTTGAGACACATATAAGTGTGTCACTCGTTATACATATCAGTGTCTAAACCGAGTAAATGAGTGCAAAGCACTTCTCACGCAAGTGTTTCCATGACTACAGTCAGCGGAGAGCGCGTACAGACAAACACCGAAAGGCTGTCTGTCCTCCACTACTACTACTACTATGAGATGATGTCCTGCCGTTCCTCATAGCCAGTGATGGATCCACTTAATAGCGATATAATGGCAACGACTGGTTATATATTAATATATATATACTGTATATATATATATATATATATAAGAAATTTTGTGATAAATAATACACAAGCAGTCACTGACTGACTCTCTTCTTATATATTGTCAAACATGTGGTACTGACAACCGATGCACACAAATATACCACTACTATGAAACACAATCAAACTAAGCACATGTATGTTAGTTTGTTGTTGATGTTGTTGTTGTTATCTTTGATGATAATAGCGATGTCAATGTTATCATGTATTGACCACTTTATTCATACAATACATATAACAACAATGACTTGTTTTTTAAAATATATATATATTTTGTTATTGAATTCAGTTATTCAGTGAGAAATAAATTGAAAAGATTTTTATTTGACTTTAAAATCAATGTATTTCTTGTTATTCTTGTTTTTCTTCTTGTTTTTTAAAAGTTAATCTCTTAAGGAATGTCTTTTATTTTGACTTTTCGAGGAATAAAATTTACAAAAATAAATAATACATTTGTATTGAAAAATATATTTATATATAAATTTTTATCACTGTTTTAGTATGTTATATGTGGTGATGACAACATATGGAAAGTTGTGGGAGTTTTTTAATAGAGAGGGAACGACAGTTAAATTTAACTTTTATTCAGATGAAGACAATTGTTTCAATTGAATTGTTTTTCTTATTATTTAAATTTTATTATCCATTATATTATATATTTTTCTTATTATAATAATTCGTTTTGTATGTAATGAATCTCTTTAGTAGACTATGGCTTTCATAATGGTATTGACAGTAAAATAACAAATTGTGTGTAACCTAATGGAAAAATTATAGTTAAAGCATCATTATTATTATAATTTAAGATAATACAAAAAAATAATACATATATTAATCGTAATTTTAAAAATGATTTTATATGTGAATAATAATAATAATAGCTATATACTATAGTAATATCAATATTTATATTTGACTAAAAAAGACAAATATAAATTTTCAAAAATAATAATATTTATTTACAGAAACTAAAAATATTCCTATTCAATAACAATCATAAACTTATGTTTTAAAATAATAACTATTATATTGTATATATTATTATATGTACATGTATATTATATATAAAAAATTTTATAGTATAAAGATAATAATTGAAAATAAATCATTTTTTTTATAAAAAACATTATCTATTGGTTGGTACACAATAGAGATTTTATATCAAATTCAAGTTCAATAGCAAAAAAAATAAGCAATAAGTACATGCAATTGTATTGTTTTGACAAATCAAATCACACATTGTGTACATATACAGAGTACAGTATATTATAATGTGGTATACAATAAGTTTATATATATATAGTATATGTCCTTAAAAATGGACAAAAACTTCTTAAAGCTCTTTAACAAACAATAGACTAAATTACTTTTCTTTTGGATATTGCTTTATATAAATACTGTATTATTTGTAATAATAATAATACAGTAAAAGTAATGCATATAAGAGAGCATCACTTTTTGTTGTCGTTTTTTGTGTCTCTTTATTTAAGTGCATACATGTACTGTACTGTACTGTACTATACTGTACATGCAATAGAGTATACAACTACAGTATAATGTTTTTATATAAAAAGTATTCAATACATTTACTTTCAATATGCACTTCAATTTTTTTGTCTCATTCAACAACATATGTATTATATAACAACACTTATTATTAACTAAACACACATACATATAGATACAGTAGATATGCATAAATATTATAAAAATTTAACGCAAGCCTATCCCCAACATTGAAAAAATAATTTGGTATCATTTGGTACAAAAAAATCCCATTATTTCATTTATATTTAATACATAAACATAAAAATTTTCATAAATTTCATATTATTATAATGTAAATAAGCGTCAAAACTGAATAACTCTATTGCAATGATGTTTGCTAATAATATTAAACATGATTTTTATATTTAAATTATGAATAACTGCTTAATTGGTATTTCACTTATTTTTCATATAACGGCAAAAATATTTTATGAATATATGACAGAACGTATGTATAGTATTAAAATATTAATCAGTAGTTTCATAATATTTAATGTTTGTATAAATTGTTGGCACAGATATTAGGTGAAAATATTTGTGACAGAATTTACTAATTTTTTTTGTTATAAAAATATTTTTATCTCAGAATTCATTAAAAACAATAATATTATTTAATAATAATTAAAGCAACAAAATCTTTTTAATTTTATATTAATAAATAATACATAAAAATATTGTTGTTTATTTATATAGATTTATAATTATTAAAACATAAAAATTGTTTAAATAATTTTCTGTTTAAAAAATATATTTTTCACATTTATTTGTTTGTATTCTACATTATTCTAAATATTTCCATAAAATTTATACAAATTTGTTTACAGTTTATTTATTATAAATTTCTAATAAAATTACAATGTTAAAATTATAACTTGATAAATCAATATTTTAATTATTTATAAACTTAATGTAACATCATATGATAACTAAAAATAAAATTTATGTAAATTAAGATCAATTTAATTTTAATTTAAATAAATATTTTTAACAAAAATAAACTTATATTAAATATAAATATTGATTTGATTGAATACATAAAAACAAATACTAATAATTTTTCATTGGTTTCAAAGATTTTGATACAAAGTGATAAAAAATAATTTAATAAAACTTTCATTTTTTATAAAATAATTTACTAAAATACTTTGTCATTAAATAAATATAAAACTGCAAACATTAGAGAAAACAATAATAATATATGAATATATTTTGTAAAATTTTGATTAGAAATCAATAAATTTTTATTTTATATTCAAATATATAAAATCAAAACAATTTTGTATTTTAATGCAAATGTATTTTAATTAATTTTTCAAAATTTAATAGTTAAACTATTTATCAATTTATGTAAATAAATAAAAATGTAAACATTAATTTATTAAATAAACTTACCAAACAAATATTGTTATATTTTAATTAAAAAATACTAATTATTAGTTTTGTAAACCATTGGTAATAAAATATAAATAATATATTTATTGTGAAATTATTTATTATTTAAAAATCTAAATTATTAAATTATTTACTTATATTATTGTAATTAAATAACTCAAATATCTTTATAATATTGCTATATATATATATATATATATATATATATTTAATAATTTAAATATTAATTGTTTATAAATAAATTCATAAATATACAATATGTATAAAAAATAAAATCTGTAAATAAAAATTATTTATACATAAACTATTGCTAAATATAAAATTTAATTACATATAAATAGTAAGGCTTAGCAATAGTTATTTATAAATTGAGTACTGTATAGTGATATAGTGATAATCTTTAAAATTTTTATTTTTATTTTGGTTATTTTGTTAATATTTTTTTACTAATATTTGGTAATTAAAATAAATTAATATAATATTTTGTCATTTTAAGTATTAAAAATAAATTTAATTAAGATTACAGTAATATAAAAATTATTATAATTTTAGTAAATAAGATAAATTGTAATTAATATTTGTATATAAATTAATCTTATTAATAATAATATGTATAAATAAAATAATTTATAAAACAAATTAATAAAAACTAAAATATTATTAAAATTGTTCAAGTAAATATTAATTTTGTGTATCTATACGATTAGTATTATTAAAATTACAATATATTGTATAT